CTTTTTTTAAAAAAAAAAAGTCTAACTGGAATTAAGGTGAGGTTTAGGGGCTGTTCTCCCCATTAGCAGGAGAACCTCCTGCATTTGTTACTTTGGTATCCTCCCCAAGGTAACACTTCTCCTTGACCTTTGAAGGAGGGAGAGCTAGTAGAAGAAAGAATTGGGTCCTTTGAATTTTCCCTTTGGATACACAAAGTCATCCCTCCAAAGTGCATTTGAGAATCTAATTCTTTTTCATGATGATCCCATTCCTATCCCTAACACACGTCCATTGAAATCCTAGCCCGTGCCAACTTCTGTCAATGTAAGGCCTTCTAATTTAGGATCATGGACACTGGAAGCCCAATAGCTCTGAGGCTGGGGAAGGCAGAATTATAGGACCTTTCATAAACCTGAATGCATCATTGGACACATAGTTGAAATTCAAGACTTCGTTTTGCTAGACCAGAGGGAGACCTGAGAAAGTTGCATGGTTGCAGTTCAATTTTTAAATTTGATTAGACCACAGAGGCAGGAGGACTGGCCATTTAATTTATGCTTTCCCATAATGATCTCAATCAGCATTTTCCTCTTGGAAGAACCCTTTCCCTATTGACCTGGCTCAACCCATCTTCCTCTCCCAAGGTCATCTTTCTCTGCAATACTTCCATCTGGGTTATTATATAACTTCAGGTTGGGACAATATGGAAGAGACCAAGGCTGGCTAATTTCTTTTTCCCTTTCTTTTCCCCCTTTTACTACTAGGTTTGCTAGCTGGTAACATTTTTTTTTCTTTTGCTAAAAAGTGCAAACTGGAATCCGATCCTACAGTAGCTGCCTAAAACTGAAAATGCTTATTTTACAAACACAGCTCTTACAGAGCTTTTTTAGAAAATGTTACTATGATGGAAAGGATAGTGTAATAAAACTTTCAGCAACTGAATTATTTATACTTTAGAATCAATATATTCCTCTGGACATCAGGACAGAGGCTTTCTGATTTTCTTTCTAACAGTCTTCCTATGATCTGACAAGGAGGTCTCTTCACTGATAATCGTGGCCCCTGCAGCTGGCTGCTGATACAATGGTCTCCCAAATCTTTATCAGTCTGGGAACCAGCCATTACAATTGGTCACTCTAGTGTAAGACCTTTGCTGGAACTTGTATGGAAATGCAGCCTTCCTGGTCCTATTAGGCCTCTTAGTGACATCTAATACTATCAACCATAGTGTCCTTCAGAAATACCTATAATATGGCATTATTTTACATTCGTTTCACTCTTTCCAGAGAAGGTGGTTCCACAGGATGTGGATGTCTCTTCCTTGTTTTTCAACATCTATATGAAACCACCTTTCCAACTAAATTTTTATTAGAAGCCATTATGGCCTCCTACAATGTATGTAATGGTTTCATGATTTTACGTTG